GTCATTGCAGCACTGTGCCAGGTGTTCTGGCGGCTCGAACTGGCTCTCAAGACCCTGCCAGTCATTCAGCCTGATGGTCCGATGGCTCCGGCCCGACTTCTCCACGGGCATCGTGCAACCGATCTTCTCGAGAGTGAGCTGCTCCTGAGTGTAGCCCAGGATCGCCCCAAACTGGCCCAGAAAGGATCCGGGCAGCAGGTGGCAGGTTCTCCTCGGTTACTACGAACTCGATCACGCCAGACTTGCCGCCCATCGCCACTGGAATCATCACCACCCCGAGCAATGTCGCCCGTCCTCCGATTCCCCTCGGTGGACTGGCTGGTTTGTCCACCCAGGCCGGGGACAGTCCCCTGACCCGTAGGTCCTCGGCTAGGCGGCCCAGGTGATCCTTGCCGATGACCGCCTGGGAGGCCCCGCTGTCTACGATAACCTGGGAGTCCTCAAGCATGAAGAAGGCGAGTGCCCTGGAGCTGTCCAGGCTCGCGTCGGACTTCTCCTCGAACTGAGCGCGCAGCTCCCTCAAGGCCTTCTCGCCCAGCAGCGTGATCCAGGAGTTGTCGCTTCGCTCAGCACCGCGAAGGGGAAGCCACTGCCGTCGTGTGAGAATGCGGTGCCACCAGCGCCTGAGCCACCCTCGGTGTCGCCCTTGGCTCCTCGCTGTCGGGAGTCCTTCGGCTTCGCGGGATTCTTGCATTCCGCGCGCCAGTGGCCGGTCTCACCGCAGTTGCCGCACTACGCGACTAGCTTCAGTTGAGCCGGAGTGAGTCGACGTCGACGCTTCCAGAATCCACGATCCTTCTGCACTGCGTTCTTCAGGTCTTTGTTCTCCTTCCAAGTCTTCCGGCGGCCCTTGCCCATCTGCGCCAGCGTCTCCGTCACCTCGTCCTCGTTCAGCTCGCGGCCGCTGAGCTCTACAAGGAGGTTGAGCCACTGTCCAGGTCGTCGGCCCACCAGGACCACGCTAAATCAGTCTCATCGATGGCGCTTCCCGTGGGCTCACTGCTGGACCTGGCGTCGCTCTCCTCGAGTAGAGTGCCGTGCGACTTGCTGTCATCGCCCCAGGCAAGTCCACCAGCGTCGAACCGCGGCAGGGCCCACATGATGTCTGGGCCCAGCAGCGACCCCCGAGTGAGACTCCGCACGTTCTGCTTGCCCTGCGCGGATAGCCGCGCGCCCTGCAGGAGGAGCATTCCCTGCACCTTGGGCGGCATCTCCATGCCGATCTCCTTGGCTCTCTCGAATTGTCTACGTCGTCGTGTAACAAACGCCAAGAGATCCTCATCCTCCTTCCTCTCAACATCCTTGGTAGCGTCGTTGCCAGCCCTGAACACTTCGTCGTCCTCTCTCTCTCCGGCCTCCTGCCCGAGGCGTTGCACAATCTTCTCGACTGAGAGGTCCTGCTCGGGAATGTACTGCAGCTTGGCCCTCAGGTCCCAGGGCAACTCCTCCAGGAGGCGGTCGGTGCGTTGAGCCTCGGTGAGCCAAGAATTGCGTCTCCACCTCATCACGTACTGCCTCCACAGTCTAAACTTATCCCACCCGGGCCAGGAGGGTGCTGGTCTGGTATGCTGACGCTCGTTCCAATGACTGCTCCAGCCCCAGCTGCCTGAATGCCACGTGCTGCATTGCCACTGCTTCCAGGGCTCAGTCTTCCACTGGTCGGAGGTGGGCGGTGCTTCGCTCTGGCCGGCCGCTGTAGTCGTCGCCCTCATCGAGGGTGGTACGTTGTCCTCGCCCGTGGCGACCTCGGTCGTCACGATCGTCGGTCGAACCCATGGAGCCTCCAGCCCCGTGATCCCCAAGAGGTCACCCAGTTGTCGTCGTTATTCTGCTCGTCTGCGCCCTTCTCGTACCACGTGTACGTCGGCGCCAGCGGCTCCGCCTTCTGCTCCTGGATGTCTGGCGCAGCCTGCGCGGGAGGTGGGCATCCCGGCGTGGTCCCAGCTCCTGCCGCTGCTGCTGCCTCGGCGGAGGGTCGCAGCAGCTCGGCCACTCTGCCTGCTATGAGATCGAGGTCTTCTCTCGCAAGCTTCTCTGTCATGCGTCCAAGCCGTCAGCGTCTATCTTCGCACCCCTGTCGTCCGTCCGGCCCCCAGGTCTGTGGATCGATGGGCCCGCTAGCTGCACAGAGCGTCACCTGGTGGCGCTGCAGCCTGCGGCCCGGAACCCCGCTCCGCCGCCACTGTTGGCACGCGGGGGTTGGGCGGACAATCGCGAAGCTCTGCACTGTAAACTTTTCCTGCTGAATCAGAATGGCTTGAGCCACCACAGTTGCAGTGATGGCACACACACACACAATGTAGCAAACATGAGAGAAACAAACAGACAGACAGGCAGGTAGAAAGGTCATGGATGGAAGGTAGGGAAGGAGCAAGAGCTGGGACATGTGCCAACAAAAAAGGCAGCCGGGCGCCCAAACGGCGCATAGGCAGTACATACAAATTCGAACTACACGTGCGGAACATGCAAACAGGATTTCAAAGCGCACGGGGAAAAACACGCCGCCCAGTGTAGCTTCGGGCGTCCACGTTAACACTTGCGGTACCACTGCCTTGAGAAACCAAGTCGACTCCCAAATGTACAAAAGCTTAGAAAGTAGAGCTGCACGGAATAAATCAAACTTGCTCTGTTTTGTGATATTGATGTGGTTCCAGCGCCGTCCTAATACATTGAATGCCGTTTTTGCTTCGCCAATTCGCCGGGGCACCCCTGGCTTGCTGCTCACTGACGGACCCAATAAACCTCCCAAGTACACAGCCTGCTCCACGGATTTCAAGGCGTGCCCGCCCAGCGAATACACTTGACATTGTTGCTGTCGCGCACTCTCATCATCGCTGTTTTCTTCCAATTGAATTCAAGCCGGGCCTCCACTCAGAAGAACTCTGTCCTTCGCGCACAGCAAATCACCTCACACCATGCACTCCGATTCCTCATAGTCGCTCGCCATATTCTGGCAGACCTGATCTACGTCGGACGCCATGACTGTTTGCACAGTGACGAATAAGCACGGCGATAAATGTCATCCGTGCGCGATCCCTGTCGTCTTTTGCCTCAACGTTGAGTCGCCGCGCGGGTCTTTAAGTAGAATCCCCATCCATCATACATTGTTTTGATCCTGTCCACCATTTGGCAAGGAAGACCAAATCTGGAAAGCGCTAGAAACATCGACTCGTGTTCGTTGCGGTCGGAAATTTCTGCCCAGTCTAAGTATACAGCAAGTACACGGGGTTCTTCTGCAGCGTGCGCGGCGTCGAAGATGCGGCGCGCTATTGCTATGGCGTCCGCGGTGCCGCGTTGTGGCCTGAAGCCCAATTGCGTTGGGCGGATGCGATCTTCTGCTCCTCCACGTTGAAATCTTATCTGTAGTATCGAAGCCCATACTTTGTAGCCGACTGCTAATTTGGAGATTGGGCGGCAATTATCCTGTTCAATGGCGTCTCCCTTCTTGTACAATAACTGTACTTCTGCCATCTTCCATTCTGCTGGGTTAATTACGCATTTGTTTCCAGCATTCCGTGCAAAGGTAATGCAAGGATTCGCATGCGTCTTTTGATGCAGACAAGAACTTCCAGAACTCTGGGTGTATACCATCTGGAGCCGCCGCTTTCGAAACCGAGAATGCTTCTTCATGCACCCATCAATTCGTTCACTGAAAACACCTCCGTGATCATATTCAGAACATGTCCCAAAGCCGGCGGGAACACAACCGTTCGAAGACTCATCCATTGGAGGCGGCCGGGGGGTCTGAGCTGGTCGGGCCTTGAGAAAAAATCGGGCGTGAGGGGGGGAGGAAGGTAAATCCGCTCAAAATCTGACCCTGGCCCTCCTCCTGCTCCTCCTCCTACTCCTCCTCCTCCTCCTCCTCCTCCTCCTCCTCCTCATCATCATCATCATCATCCTCCATCTGTCCCTGGACCCTTCCCAGGGTCCACCTGGTGCAGTTTTGCACCCCGCATCCGTTTTTGGCGGTACTGAGGCCCGAAAACAGCCCTCAGAGGCCGAAAAGGGCAAACGGGCCACCTCAGACCCCCAGCCTGCTCCAACATATCAACATGCGTCTGGCAAATATCCGCCACCATCCCGTAGGCACCGAGTGGAGTTTCCTCAAGTCCCTTCGTGATCTGCCCTTTGAGTGGCCCAAACCCCAGAAAGAGGCCCCCAAGAGGCCTCCAGGAGGCCATCGAGAGGCATGCCAAGAGACCCCGAACAGGCATCCAGAAGATCTCTGGGCCACGACTCAGGCACTGTGGCAGGAAGAGCCGAAGGCCACTAGATGCATACATGTACGCATGTACACATGTATGCATGTAGACTTACATGTACGCGCATGCATACGTACGCGCAAGCATGGATGCACGATCCATTCCATAATGACAGGTTGCCCAGAGAGCCCTAGATGCCCGTCGGCGCTACATGCAATCAGGCGTACTCGAAAGTATGATCCTTGCTGCAGTCGTTGAAAAAAAAACTCGATTTCACGCTGCAAGGTAGTATAGTGCACTACAACGCAGTGCTCGCCACAGCCCAGCGCGCTTACATTGCATCACGTCGAGCCCAACCGCAACAGGACATATCGCCGAGCGGCGCGGGAAGCGGCGATCAACGAGAGAGGAGGAGAATGAGGAGCAGGAGGAGGAAAAGAAGAAGAAGAAGAAGAAGAACGAGGAGGAGGAGGACGAGGAGGAGGGAGGGGAGGGGGAGAACGAGGACGAGGAGGAGGAGGAGAACGAGGACGAGGAGGAGGCAGGGGAGGGGGAGGAGGGAAAGAGGAGGAGGGGGAGGTCGCTTCCGACGACTACGACGACGACCGCATCCCCAGAAATCCCCAGAGGTCCCGAGAGGTCGGCAGAGGCACTTTGAGATCCGACAACAATAAAAACAAGGAATGCCGATGTGCATTGTCAGAGGAGGTCCTTCCAGTTTCAATGTTTCTTCGACGATTGAACAGAAACTGGGCAAAAAGTCTTCGACTCTCGATCCCCCTACTCGGTCGGGCAGGCCTGCGAGAGCTTCGTCGTCAGGTCCGCCTTGATCAGCCCGCGGTTGACCACGTCATCCGCAGCGCGCAACTGGTCGAGCGTGGCTCTGCACGGCAGCGTGGGGGTGATGGTCGTGTAGGGGCCTCGGCAGCACGGCACCATCATCACCACCATCATCTGAATTAGCATCAGCAGCATCATCACCACCACCAGCACCAGCATCCGCATCCTCACCATCATCATCATCCTCATCATCATCATCATCAGCATCATCAACATCATCATCATCATCATCATCATCATCACCATCATCATCATCATCATCATCATCATCATCATCATCATCATCATCATCTCAGCATCAGCATCATCATCATGATCAGCATCATCAACATCATTCACATCAGCATTGTCATCCTCATCATCACGATCACCATGATCGGAATCGGCATCATCAGAATCATCATCATTATCATCATCATCAGCAGCATCATCAGTATCCTCATCATCATCGGCATCACCATCACCCAGCCTCATCATCATCAGCATCATCAACAGCAGCAACACCATCATGGTCATCATGATCATAAGCACCGTAAGCATCATAAACCGCATTAGCATCAGTATCAGCATCATCATCAGCATCAGCAGCATCAACATCATAATCCTCATCATTAGCATCATCACCAACAGCATCATCAGCAGCAGCATCGTCATCATCATCAGCATCAACATCGGCATCATCATCATCAGCATCATCGTCATCGTCATCAGCATCCCCCTCCTCCCCCGTGATCATCGTCCTCGTCTTTCTTTTCTTTCTCCTCCTCCTCATTATCATCCTCCTCCTGTTACTCCTCCTCATCCTCATCATCAGCAGCATCATACTCGTCATTATCATCAGCATCGGCATCATCAGCATCGTCAGCATCATCACTACCACCACCATCAACATTATCATCAGCATCTTCATCATCATCATCCTCAGCGTCAGCATCAGCAGCATCATCACCATCATCGACATCGTCGTCATCAGCATCGTCATCAGCAGCATCCTTATCAGCAGCATCAGCATCACCATCACCATCATCATCATCATCATCATCATCATCATCGTCGTCATCAGCATCATCATCATCGTCATCATCCGCGCCATCACCATCGGCATCGTCCTCATCTTCCTCAAATAACAATCATGGCATCATCCCTATCATGGTCCTCCTCCTCCTCCTCCTGCTCCCCTTACTCCCTCTCTCCCACTCCTACTTCTACTCCGCCTCTGGAGGAGGATGACGACGACGCCGACGATGAGGAGCATGAAGAGGACAAGCATCAGGAGGACGATGAGGAGGAGCATCAAGAGGACAAGGAGGAGACAAGGAGGAGGGGCAAATGTCTAGCTATCACGAGCATCAAGAGGACAAGGAGGGACTGCGTTGCTCTGGAAAACAAACGTCTAGCTATCCCTCGAGAAGTGCGTGCACCATGGTTTCCACCAGGCCGCAGATCGATCGAGGGGGAGGAGAAGGGGGGGCGGGGGTAGGCGACGGAGAGAGGGGAGGGAGGGGGAGTGACAGAGAGAGAGAGAGAGAAAAAAAAAAAAAAAAAAACATCTTCACACATATATATGTATGTATTTATGCATGTCTATATACACGCAACGATGAATTCACACGAACAGGTATCGAGAGAGAGAGAGATGGAGAGCGAGACAGACAGAGAGAGAGAGAGATAAGGAAACAAGAGAGAGAGGGATACAAAGAGAAAGAAAGGGAGGGGTGAAGAGAAAGGGATCGAGAGAGGGAGAGAGAAAGAGAGGAGAGAGAGAGAGGAGGGAGAGAGAGAGAGAGAGAGGGACAAAAAAATGAAAAGAGAGAGAGAGAGAGATAACAAACAAGAGAGAGAGAGAGAAGGGACAGAGAAAAATAGAGAAAGAGAACGAGAGAGAGGAAACAAGAAAAGACACACACACACACACACGCACCGAGTCACAGCGCGCGTCCGCGTGCGACCGCCAAGTTCACAAGTGTCCCGCACGGCTGCGCAGGACGTCTTCACGAGGGTCCCGACGGCCCCCTCGCCCTGCGACCAGTGGACGGCATAAGGGAGAGAGAGAGAGAGAGAGATTGAGACAAAGAGAGAGGGGCAGACAGATTGCGAGAAAGAAACATAGAAAAACAAACAAACTAAACCACAAAAAAAACGAGCGAGCGGGGGAAACATTATGACAGATAGACGGACCAACAGAAGAACGGACGGACTCCCCCCCAACAAAAGCGCACCCGCAATGCCCCTACGCTGCGGGCAACTTCCTCGGCCTCCGGAAAGCAACACTCGCCAATCGCTAGGAGCTCTTGTCAAGGCAGGCCGACACATGATACAGCAACAGCTACCAGAAGAAACTGAAAAATGACTGGCATCACCAACGCGTAGCGGGAATCTGTAAAGCACGTCATGCGCGCGCTCGACCACCACAGGAAGCGACACCACACGCGGCAGCTCCAAGTCACGCGCCAGACGTGCCACGGGGTCGCCCCGAGGGCAAAGCACACGTCCGCAAGACCACGACGTGCATCAAACGAGATACGCCTCCGCCAATAGCACGGGCACCGCTGCGCTGGCAGCCTCTCAGCAGGGACGAAACGAAAAGCTGCGGCCACCACCGCAGCCCCCGCTCGACGGCAACAGCCCGAGGCCCCCGCTCGAGGCCCCAGGACGAGGAAGAGGAGGAGTAGGAGGAGGAGGAGGACGACGACGAGGACGAGGACGAGGACGAGGACGAGGAGGAGGAGGAGGAGGAGGAGGAGGAGGAGGAGGAGGCGGAGTCGAGGCCCCCGCTCGAGGCCCCCGCTCGAGGCGCTCGGCCTGAGGCCCCCGCTCGACAGCCACAGCCCAAGCCGGGCCCCTCGGACACCAGACCCGGGGTCGAGCGCAGGCCGCGCGCCTCCGCACCCCGCTGCGCAGGCCGAGAAGGCACGGGCGGCACGCACCGGCAGCAGCACCGGGCGTGCTCGCAGCCCGCAGCACTGCGCAGAGAGCCCAAGCCCGAGCTCGGACGCGGGCGCGCCGAGGTGCGAAGGGCAAGAGCCCAGACTGTCGCGCAAGCAGCTGGCTGGCGCCACTGCTGCCCTCCCGCTCACGACGCCTCGGCCAGGTGGTCTCGCTCAAAGCAGGCCGTGACTCGGGGATCACTCTGGATGGACCGCTTCTACAGGGAGGCGACGGCGAAGCTGATGTCTGCACGGGTGTTCAGACAGACAGACAGACAGACAGACAGGCAGCCAGACAGTCAGCCAGCCAGACAGACAGACAGACAGGCAGAATGACAGAGAGTGACAGAGATTGACAGAGTAACAGAGGGCAGAGGGGGAGACAGACAGGACGAGGAGAAGGAGGGGGAGGAGGAGGAGGAGGAGGAGGAGGAGGAGGAGGAGGAGGAGGAGGAGGAGGAGAAGGAGGGAGGAGGGAGGAGGAGGAGGAGGAGGAGGAGGAGGAAGAAAAAGGCGGAGGAGGAGAAGGAGGAGGAGGAGGAGGAGGAGGAGGAGGAACGTCGACAAGGAGGAGGGTCGAGGAGGAGGAGCAGGAGAAGCAGGAGGCGCAGCAGCAGGGAGCAGGAGCCCCGGGAGGCGCGGGAGGAGCAGCGGCGGCAGGAGGAGCGGGAGGAGACCGAGCGGAGAGGAGGGGGCTGCGTGGACGGCCGCCCCCGCGGGCGGCACCGCCGCCGCCGCCCCAGCAGCCGTCGCCGTGGTCCTCCTCAAGGCGCAGCCAAGACGAGGATAAAACCTCAAGACGAAGCCAGGACGAGGATAACACCGGGCTGAGATCCGACGGCTCTGGAGAATGTCTCGGGCGCCGCGGCCTTCTCAGTGAGCGGTCTGGAACGCTCTGGAACGGATTCGCCCTCGTCCCAGCCCCGCCCGACTCCTCCTCTGTCCCCGAGGCGTCGCCACATCCCAAGGACTGTGGGCGTTCGTCGGCACTCTGGCGAATGCTCCAAAGCGGCACCATTCTTTCCTGGGCGCTCGCCTCCCTCGCCTCCTCCTCGCCTCCTCCTCCTCGTCCTCGCCTTCCTCGCCGTCGTCCTCGTCTTCGTCCTCGCCGTTGCCCTCGCCCTCGCCACGCGCGCCCCCCGTGGCCGTGGACCCCGCGCCGCCGGGCGGCGTGCCCGGCGCAGGCCCGCCGAACGCGAAGCACACCCTATTGACGTTGTGGCACACCTCCGGCGCCGGCAGGGCACAGGAGGAGGAGCGGGCAGAGCAGGAGGAGGAACGGAGGAGAAAGGAGGAAGGAGGGAGGAGGAAGGAGGGAGGAGGGAGGAGGGGGGAGGAGGGAGAAAGGGGGAGGAGGGAGAAAGAGGGAGGAGCCTGGACTCTGCCTTCGGGCCGCCTGGTTTCCTCCGCGTGTCTCTGCTGCTAAGCTACACAAAAACTGTCCTCTGGGCAAAGTCCTACATTAGAGGCCTCCTCGATGGGGTCCGAGTAGATGGGGTCGGAGGATCGCGCCGCATCACCGATGCATCGGCGATGCATCGGCGATGCATCGGCGACCTGGGCGTGGGGAAACACGGGCTCCACATCGAGCCGCATCGCCGATGCATCGGCGATGCGGCGCGATCCTCCGACCCCGTCCACTCCGACCCTGCCGAGGAGGCCCAGATACATCTCATGACCTAGCTGCTGCGGCCGCGCATGGAGAGGAGCCACCGTTCTCGGGCAGAGGCTGCCCCTTCTGGTGCGGGGCGCCTCTCTCGGGAGGGAGGAGGAGCGAGGGAGGGAGGAGGGAGGGAGGGAGGAGGGAGGAGGGAGGAGGAGAAGAAAGGAGGAGGGAGGAGGGAGGGAGTGAACGAGGGAGGGAGGAGGAACGAGGGAGGGAGGAGGGACGAGGGAGGCGGGAGGAAGAGGACGAATGAATTTTCCCGATGCTCTGCCTCTGGGGTCCCGTTTCGGGACCCGGGCCCATCAGAGATCGATCCAAGATGGACGACTGGCCAGAGTAGGGCCCGCCCACGAGCTTCTTGAGCA